TCTCCACTGCCACTAGTACCACTGTTTCTTCTATTTCCAGTTCCACTCTGGTACTTTTCATTACCCAGAAACATTACAAGAGCAGCCTCTTCATTAGTTATCTTGTTTCCACTTTCACTTCCTTCAGTTTTTTCTCCACAAAGCAGATGATGCATCTTTCTAAACTCCTGATCTATCACATGGTTCCCCCACTTAAAAGACTCATCAATGGCTTCTGTCTGCTCTTAGGATAAAGGTCAAAACAACACTCACAAAGCCTGGTGCCATCTGTATCTGCCTTCACTTTTTTAAAAATGTAAATCAATTTTCTGTTTAAACCTCTTCAATGACTTTTGGCTGCTCTTAAAAATAAAATTGAAACTCTCACTGTAGGCTGCAGGGCCCTGTATGCCTCTCCAAACCCAGCTCACACCACCTACCCTCCTCTCCTTCATGAACTTCTGGCTGCACTGTTTTCTTCCAGTCTTTCCTACCTCAGGGTTTTTATGTTAGCTGTCTCCTCTACCTGCAAAGCTGTCCCCCCAAACTCTTCAAATGTCTGGCTAATTCTCCTCCTTTGTGATTCGATTCAAACATCATTCTCTCAGAACATTCTTTCCTGAACACCTGTTTAAAATAAAATAAAATAGGGACCTCCCTATCAGTCCAGTGGTTAAGACTTCACCTTCTAATCCAGGGGGTGCAGGTTTGATCTCTGGTCTGGGAGCTAAGATCCCACATGCCTTGTGGCCAAAAAACCAAAACATAAAACAGAAGCAATATTGTAATAAATTCAATAAAGTCTTTAAAAATGGTCCACATCAAAAAATCTTAAAATAAATAAGCTTAAAATAAAATGACCTCTGTATCAGTTCCCTTTATTAAAGCAACCTGCTTATTTCTTTCATGGCACTTACTGCCAAAGTTATTTTATTTGCATGTCCATTTATTTCTCATTGGCCCCACCAAGAATGTAAGCTCTGTTTTGTTCACCACTCTATCCTTAGAGCCTAGTCGATGCATGACACATAGTAGGTTCATTATAAATATTTATTGCATAAATGGATAGCCAGAGTCCTAGAATCACTGTGGACAGTGACTACAGGCACGAAATTAAAAGACGCTTGCTCCTTGGAAGCAAAGCCATGACAAACTTAGACAGTGTATTAAAAAGCAGAGACATCACTTTGCCAACAAAGGTCAATATAGTCAAAGTTAAGGTTTTTCCAATAGTCATGTATGGATGTGAGAGGTGGACCATAATGAAGGCTGAGCACCAAAGAAAGGATGCTTTCCAACTGTGGTGATGGAGAAGACTCTTGAGAGCCCCTTGGACAGCAAGGATATCAAATCAGTCTATCCTAAAGGAAATCAGCCGTGGATATTCACTGGAAGGGCTGATGCTGACACTGAAGCTCCAATATTTTGGTCACCTGATGCAAAGAGCCAACTCATTGGAATAGACCCTGATGCTGGGAAATATTGAGAGCAGAAGAGGACGATGGAGGATGAGATGGTTTGATGACATCACTGACTCAATGGACACGAGTTTTAGCAAACTCTGGGAGATAGTGAAGGACAGGGAGGCCTGATGTGCTGCAGTCCATGGGGTCGCAAAGAGTCGGACACGACTTAGTGACTAAAAAAAACAACAGGGTCCTAGAGCCAGTCAATGATAGCTCTGGAATTCCTTCTTTGCTATGTTAAAAGGTGTTTTCCCTTTCTTCCAGCAGGTGGAGCCAAAGCCACACCTGGTCCTTAGCAGGGGTCTGCGGAGGGGTGTGTGGTTGGCCAGGCTGAGGACAGTGAAGGGGGGCTGGGGCGGGGGGGAGGCAGGGTTAATAGTGCTGCTGTATCCAAGTGTGAGGGAAGTCAAGGTGGCAACGTCTCCCAAAGGACAGGAGGTAGGAGCTGTCCAGAAGAGACGTGGAGCAGCCAGTGATCCAAGTGATCTCGGAGATCCCAGATTGCTTTCCCACTTCCCCCACCTATTCCATAGCCTCCTAAATCATGTCCTCAAAAGTCAGAAGGGGTTTTTGAGGAGAGCAATTTTCTGTGAACATGAAACTGGAGAGGCCAGGGTTTTCAATTCCAAATCCCCTTTGTATAGTTAGGGGATACTGACACCAGGGAAGTGGGTCAGTGGGAGTTGGGTGTAGCTGACAAAGCCTTCGCTCATTAGTTCATTCAAGTCTTAGCTTATTAATTTGGCTCCACACAGCCCACCACTTCCCTCCTTGCCTGGTGCCCTGATGAGGGCATTGATTCTCAGAGTTGCCCTAAAGATGCAGGAGGCAGGAATAACTTGTGAGAGGCACGCTGGAGCTAAGACATGCTGGAGCACCAGAGGTCAGGGGTATGTTCCAGAGCCAGGCAGGTGGCCTGCATATAAACCTAGAGCTGGGAAGTTGGCAGGGGTCTTGGATTTCCTCCTGAAGATGTGTTAGTGACTTGGTCATGTCCAGCTCTTTGCAATCCCATGGACTATAGTTAACCAGCCTCCTCTGTCCATGGAATTCTTCAGGCAAGAATACTGGATGTAAAGTAATTAGTCTTGTAAAGTAATTAGCCTCCAACTAATAAAAATAAATGGAAAAAAAAAAAAAAGAATACTGGAGTGGGTTGCCAGTCCCCTTTCCAGGGAATCTTCCCAACCTAGGGATAGAACCTGGGTCTCCTGCACTGCAGGTAGATTCTTTTACCATCTGAACCACCAAGGAAGTGTCAAGTTCTAAATGACTTAACCCTCTTTTTTAAAATTTGCATTTTAAAAAGATGGTAGAAAAAAAAAAAGATGGTAGAGATAAGGGTTCCTGAGAAGATCAGGTAGAACATTTGCATCTGATAATGGGGACTCAAAAGGTTTCTAACCTGGAGAGCTACTTGGTTATCTTAAATAGCTTGCAGAAGGAATCAGATATGGTTTGAGATCAAATCGAGGCCAGTGAAGACACAGGTACAATCATCCAGGTGAGAGAAGATAAAACCTGGGAAGCAATTGCAGTGACAGGGAAAGAAGTAAACTTGGGTGGTTTAGGGAATTTCTGTTTTAAAGATGGGATTTGATGCTTATTGATTAGAGTGGAGGGAGAAGGGAGGTGAGTGGACCTCTGTAAATGTCACCTCGGAGTCCTTGAATGCTCCAGCTGTGGAGATCAGACCAGAGCAGCGTCTGACCTGAGGGCAGCTCCAAAGGCAGCAGTGGGACTTGGCTGGGTGGTAGCAAAACTATTGGTTCACATAACAACCTAAAGCAGTGGTTCAAGAACACAGGTCCTATAGTGAGATAGCCTGGGTTCAAGTATCAGATTCTCCACTTACTAATTTTTCTGCACCTCCTCAGTTTCCTGATCTGTAAAATGGGGAAGTTATGAGGACTAATGAGATTGATATTTACTAAGCATGTGTAACAGTGCCTATAAAGGGGGTTGTGTAGAACTTCATTCAGTAAATGGAGCTCCAATTCCAAAAAAAAAAATGGAGCCCCAAACCCAAAGTAAAAACCAAGCCTAAACAGTTTAACCATGTCTCTTCTCTGGGCCTCATTTATCCATCTACATAGAATAAGGGGCTAAAAAAAAAAGTGGCTAAATGAAAAAAGAAAACAAAACCAAAAAATAAAAATAAAATAAATAAAATAAAGGGCTGGACTGATAGCCTCTAATCATGCAAGTGCTGTTTTCTTGATTTTGGGGGGTTGGGGGATGGAGCTTGGCCTGAGTGTGTTACATGCAATGACTTGCTAAGACAAGCTCCTACCAGCTTGCAAGGGCCAATTATTAAATTTTCAGGAAATTTTCAGGATTGAACAACTGCTGGTAACTTGAAATTGGCTACAGTGGGAATATTTACACTCCAGAAATAGGCAAATGCTACAAATGAGGCCTTTCCCACTGCCCTCCTCCCCGACACCAGTGGTGAGATCCTTCCCCTCAACCAACACATAGACTTGCTTTCCAACTCTGTCATCAGTGATAGAGAATCACAGGTCTCTTGGGCCCCCAGGGTCCTAATCACAGAATCTGCCCCAGCACAGCCAGCCCCGCTTGCTCAGGCATGCACAGGGTGGGCAGCAGAACACACAGGCCTGAGCAGAGCAAACTGGTTGTTCTCAGACTCAGGGTACACTGGGTAGTCGTTAAGATACTGGAGTCTCACACACCTGGGATGTTATTCCAGTTAGATCTCTCTTGGCTGTGTGGGTTTAGCTAAGTTTCTGGCATACTGGGGCTCAGTTTCCTCATCTGTAAAATGGGGACAGGGGACTTCCCTGGTGGTCCAGTAGTTAAGACTGTGCTCCCACTGCAGAGGGCATGGATTCTAACCCTGGTTGGGGAACTAAGATCCCACATGCCACATAGCCCCCAAATTTAAAAATACTAATAAAATAAAATGGGGACAGTCCTGACCCAGCAAGATGGTTTCTAGGATTAAGTGAGAATGCCATCAAGGTGAAGGAAAACTTCCACACCTGGGCCTGGTACAGACAGGTATTTACTAAATGTTAGCCAATGCTGTTGTTATACCTCCACACACATTCTGGCTGAATGCTCCCTCTCACTCTCTGCATCCTGGAACGGAAGGGCTCAGTGAGTTGCTGAGAACAAAGGCAGAAACAGGCAGCTCAGTTTTCCAGCTTTTATGAAAATTAATAACATTAATAGATCACAGACATATACATACATACACACTGCTATGTACATGGTCATTAAGTTATTAATTAGTCTCTGTATACAACATTTCTACATTAGTGTTCCAAGCTAGGCCCGATCAGTCCTTGGCATATTCACAGTAGCAGTCCCTGGGCTTGGCCCCCAGGGTGGTCACAGGGAGGCCGGTGACTGATGCCCACCCCATGATAGGCACAGGAGGTGTCCTGGGTTGCTTACTATGAAGTCTTTAGCTCCCTTCCTGGCATCTGGAGACCAGCTATTCAGGGAGCAGGCAAGCGGGCCTCGAGTCTTTGTGTGGCCTGGTGACCCAGGCCCCATATATAGTGGCTTCGGGACATCCAGTATGCACTAGAGGATGCTGGCCAGTTCTGTAGAGTCTGTGTCAGAGCAGCCCGAGCTGCTGGCCTCTTCCCTGCAAGAACCAGAGGAGACAGGTTAGAGGAAGCATCCTTACTCACCTGCTTGTTCCCCGAGGGATCTAGGCTCTGCAGGCTTAGCTGACTGCCAGGTTAGTCTAAGTCACAGGACAGTGTTTGTTCACTCTCACTCAGCCCAGAAACTGCTGGTAGGTTTGTTCACTGTTCCTGCTGCCCTCAAGGCACCCCAAGCTCCAGTACTACACCCTGGCCTGGGCGGGTTGATGAGCAGGCGTAACTTACTCCACCCTGCCCTATGGTCTTCACACTGAGGTCCTGCATGCCAGGAGAGCTATGAAGAGTGTGGGCTCTGGAGTTAGAATACAGGGACTCAACCCCCAGGTCTGCCCTTTATCACTTGTCACCCTTCCTGGTTAAGCCTCAGTTTCTTCATCTGCAGAGTGTGAATCACAGGAATCTCTGACGCCCAAGGCTATTAAGATGACTACAGGAGATCATGAGTACACTCTCTAAAATGTAGACCTCTTAGGTGACAGGGATTTTTGTTTGTATCATTCACTAGACCAAGGCCTGGCACATAGGCTTCCAGTATACATACTTGTTGAATGAATAAATGTAAAACCACTCAGCATAAGCAGAGAGCAAAGGGCTCGAGAAACATTAACTAGACTTCCCCAGGGGTCCAGTGGTTAAGAATCCACCCTCCAGTGCAAGGGGGTGTAGTCTTTAGCTCCCTTCCTGGCATCTGGAGACCCATCAATTCAATCCCTGGTTGAGGAACTAAGATCCGATATACAGAGGGGCAATTAAGCCCACATACTGCAACTAGAGAGGCCCCATGCCACAACTAGAGAAGCCTGCATGCCACAACAAAGATTCTATGTGCTGCAACTAAGACTCGATGCAGCCAAATAAATAAATATTTTTTAAAAATAAAATAGTCACATACACAAAAAGATACATCAACTGCCATTGTGATGAACGGGCAGAGGGGAAGGGCAGAGGAGAGGTGGTGGAGGGGAAGATGTGTGGGAGGCAGATCTGAGCTTCGCTGCTCCAGGAGGCGCTTTTCAAGGGCTTAGACTGGATGATGCCCTTTTGTCCACCAACCATCCCTTGCCCACTCACCTCAGAGCCTGCAGGGCCTTCTTGTTCTGCCGCCTCTTCTCCTCGTTAATGGGGTACAGCTTGAAGAGCAGCAGGCCTATGAGGATGAGGACTATGGGAGCCATGGTCACCAGCATCTTCAGCGTGAACTTGACACGTGCCGGCTGGGAGCAGCCACGGGTCTGGTACCCGGTGAAGCTGTGGGGCCCAGTGGTTAGGGGAGTGGTGAGGAGGGGGCACCTGGGGCCTGCCCCTGCCCAGCACTACCCAGACCCCCACCCCACTCACTCCAGACTGAGGGTGGAGATGCCCAGAGAGACGCCAGAGGCAAACTTGGTGAAGAAGACGTAGAAGGAGAAGAAGATGGGCTCGGTCCCATGGATGTGGGGCTGCTTCAAGTGGAAGTCATCAATGACGTCAGGCAGCATGGACCTACACACAGTGGTGGCAGCCGTGAGCACACTCCCACCCAGCAACTCCAGGCCTCCGCTAGCCCATGTGGTCCAGGTCAATAAGAGCACTCCCCTGGGAGTTGGCGGTTCTATAGTACACACACACCGTTCAATGAGGAGATGGCAACTTCATGTGACTCAAAAAAGAAGGCTTCTTCCTCTGAGGTGAAGTAGCCCCACATGTAGTTGCTCAACTGGGCAAGTAAAGTGCAGGGTTTGAAACCCCATTTCCCACCCTGACTAGGTGTGCTCAATCTGTACAATTGTACTGGGAGGACCTGCCCCACTCCCAGCCTGGACCTGCAGAATGGCCTGTAGAAAGGAAAGATTCTTTTTTCCACAGATTCTCCCTAAGGAGTTTCAGAACTGGGGAGCTGGGAAGCTGGGGAACATACCAAGGTGGACCTATACACACACACACACACACACACACACTTACCACGGTAGTAAGAAGGCAGCTGCTACACTGATGCCGGCTGCCACAGCCACCACGTATGTGACAATCAGGTTACTCTCCATCAGGGCCACCAAGATGAGAAATGGCACTGCTGACTAGGAGAGTGGGTGTAGGGAGATGAGTCGGCTCGGAGGCTCCCAGTAGTAACCCCCAGGTCAGCCAAGGCCCGACCCCTTCAGCCCCACTCACCGAGATTCCAACGTACACAGCTGTCTTTTTGCCAAACCGGGTTAGGAACCATTGCCAGATGGGGATGGTGACTGTGGCTGAGAACTGTGGAGGGGCAAAGGGGGTGAAGGAAGTGGGTTAGAGCCCTGGAATCCCTCTTGCCCTTCCCAGGACTCCAAAGGTGCTGCTAGCCCTGATGAGGAGCAGTCAGATGCCATTACCTGGATTGCTCCACAGCAGCTGATGGCTCTTCAAGGGGCTGGGACAAAGTCCTGATCTTATCTGCTGCCCTCTAAGCACAGAACTCTGAGTTCTGGCCTCCACGTCTTTGCTTTCGCTATCCTTTCTACTTGAACATCTAACCCCAATCCTTTCTTTTTTCCCCAGTGTTACTGAGATATAATTGACAAGAACATTGTACTAGTTACTAGTTCAAGGTGTACAATATAAAGATAATTTTAAAATATTTATTTGTCTGTGCCAGGTCTTAGTTGCAGCATGTCTTTTTTTTTTTTTCCCCATAGTTGCAGCATGCAAACTCTTGGTTACAGGATCTTCAGTGGCAGCATGTGCACTGGGAACATGGAGTCTTAGCCACTGGACCACCAGGGAAGTCCCAATAAAGATTTGATATATGTACCCAAACTCTTTTTTTCATAGTCCTACCTAAGCAACTGTAGGTCAGATCCAAATGTTCTGAGAAGCCTCCCTCATCCCTCACGACCTTGGGCCAGTCTGAGAAACATCCTCTGGCTATCCAAAGAATCATCTCACAGCCTAAGCCACTTCAGCCACCCTTGGGGCCCCACACGCACCATGATTGCCAGGAGCAGATTCTGGAATTCGTTCCGAAAGCCCAAGGTGTAGGTACAAAACAAGGCGAAGTTCCCCTCCACCAGCTGGGGGCCAGGATGGCATAGCAGGAAGGAGGACAAAGAAACAGATGATGCTGGAGCTGAGCCTCGAAGACTCTTCCCATGTTTGGGGGACCTCTGCTCACCCCATCCCCATTCCACCTGTCCCTCAGGCCCTGTCACATTCTAAGGCCTATCCCATCCTCTACTGCACTCCCCCATCAGGCTGAGCTTATCAGAGCCACACTCACCATGAAAGCCAAGGAGGTGAAGAGGAAGCCGGCAATAAGCTTGATGTATGGTCCATGGCTCATGACCAGCCGGAGGCCCCGAAAGAAGGGCATCTGCTTGGTCTGCTGAGTCTCGTAGGATTCTGGGAGCCAGAGAGGACAGTGAGCAGGAGCAGAGGCCCCTCCCATAGTCTGAGGCCCAGGCAGAGGGACAAAAACTGCCCCATGATGGGGCCTGCACCCCTCCCTGGGACCCCTCACCTCTCTGTTCCCGCACGCCCAGGGTCAGGATGACAGCACAGATGACATAGATGGAGGCAATGACTCCTGCCGCCAGCAGGTATGCATTTTGCTATAAAGCAGGTAAAGATCACATAGAGACAGTCAGTCTGATTTCATCCCAGCTCCCAGCAGCTCTACTCAATGACCTTGGATTAGTCCCTTCTCTGGGGGCCTCTCTGTCTCCATCTGTGAAATGGGAAAGTTAGCCTGGGCCTACTGCTGCTTCCCAAGGCTGGAACAAGTCCAGATGAACAAAAGGCTAAGAAGGCCAGGATGTGGAGTCTGAAAGCCCATAGTTCAAATCTCCCCAAACCTAGTTTCTGCAACTCATTAGCTATATTACATTGGACAAATTATTTAGCCTCTCGGTGCATCAGTTTCCTTATCTGCAAAGTTGCCATATTAAAACTATATGTAACAAATGCCCAACAAATTACCAACACTAGCCATTATTACTATTCTGAGGATAACTGCAAACCACCCCATCATTCCTCATCTTCCCCCATCCCTGCCCTGCCAAGGACTCACCGTTTCTTTGATCGAGGTGGAGCTCTGTGTGCGATTGACTGTAGAAGCATTGGCATCCGGGATACAAGGCGAATCTGCTTGGCCCACGATCTGCCCCTGGATTGCTGTGCCCAGCACTGTACCTAATACCTCCACGGTCATCCCTGAGCAGAAAAAAAGACGTCCTTTGGAAGGGCCGCATGGCTTGTGGGCCCCCAGAGAGGAAGGTCAGATGGATAGAAGCCCCAGAAGCTCTAGCCCCAGGTGATGGAAACAGCTCCAGATGGAATGGTTATAGGGTGGTAGGGTAGATGGCATCTTGGCTTAAACTTGTAGCGTTGCTGTGTGACCACTGCCTGGTCCTTGTACCTCTCTGATCTCAAGAGAGCAATCAGTTATTTTTTAGTATGGTTTCACACCTACTCCCAAGAGCAGAGAGCTGAGCCCATAAGGGAAGAAACATGGTAGGAGGGTCAAGGAGTGGGGGACCCTGGGTCCCTGGTGGGTGGGATCAGTGGGCTGGGGAAACTTACGATAGGCAGTGGCAGAATCACGCTCACTCTGCTCCGTGCTGATGAACATGGTGAGAGCTGAGTAGGGAACGTGGAAACACTGGCATGGAAGAGAGGCCCTCGGCCAGTCAGACGATGGACAGACAGATGTGGCTTTGGGCACCAACCCCGGAGGCCCCAGGGACTTCCTTCCCCCTGCCCACACTCACCGTGACCAGCGTTTCAAAGAGGCAGTAGAAAAGCAAGTACCACAGGGTCTGGCCCTGGTGGAAGTCGGGCACGAACCAGATGAGGAAGTAGGCGATGATGGCCAGGGGTGTGGAGAAGATGATCCTGAGGAAGGGGAGAGTCTGAGTGGGGGCTGGATGTTGGGCCTGGCCTGGACTCTTCGGCAGCCCCAGAGGGTGCCTGGCGGGAAGGAAATTCCTCTGTCTGGATCCACCCACCCTGGGGTCTCTGGGAAGGTACTGATGGCCAACCCTGGAAGGCCAGACTGAGACAGGGTTCTGGCCTACAATCCCAAGCATGGAGCATGAGGTCAGACCCTCCCAAGGCTTGCCTGCCTCTCCCCAGGGGTGAACGCTCCAGAGATGGGGGCTTTCTATGGGCTCGGGGATAAGAATGGAGGCTGAGACTTCGGGGAGAAGGAGCAGCCCCAGTGCTGGGGTTCTCCCCATTGTGTGTACACACGGGGCGAGGGAGGCCAACTCCAGGGGAAGGTTTCCTTCTGGAGCAGCCACAAGGGAGGACTGGGCTCCGTGAAATAACTATACGTGGGGGTGGGGGTGGCAAAGGTCTGCCTCCCCACATGTGAATCCCATGGTCCAGAAAGATCCCACAGGCCGCAGAGCAACTAAACCCATGCCCCACTACTGAGCCTGTGCTCTGCAACAAGAGAAGCCCACCACCATGAGAAGCCCATGAACTGCAGCTAGAGAGAGGTGCCTGTTCACTGCAACTGGAGAAAGCCTGTGTGCAGCACCCAAGGCTCCGTGCTGTCAAACATAAAATAAATAAAATCTTTAAAAAAAAAAAAAAAAGAAAAGGCAGCTGAGAACCAAGGCCATGGAGAACCGTGGTTAGAAGAAAGGCCCACAATTCAGGGATCCAGTTCTGGCTCTACTACTAACTATTAATAACTTGGTCTTGGGCAAGTCATTTAACTGCTCTGAGACTCATTTTCTCATCTGTAAAATGAGAGTAGTAAGAACAGCTACCTCACCTTCAACATTTACTCAAGAAATATTCAAGTGCTAACTCTGAGCTGAGCGCTATTCTAATGACTTGGAATGTATCAGGAAACAAAACATACAAGTCACTGCCCTCATGACATTTACATGCTAGTTGGCAAACAAAAAATAAACATAAGATATATACTATGCAGCCTTAAAAAGGGATGAAATTCTGAAACATGCTACAATATAAACCTAGAAGTGACACTAAAAGACAAATCTGGTATGATCTCACTTAGATGAGTCAGATTCATCAACAGAAGACGATTGGTTGCCAGGGGCTGGAGGGGAGGAAGGAATGGAGAGTTAGTGTTTAATGGGTACAGAGTTTCAGTTTGGAAAAAGTTCTGGAGATGGTTGTGCAACAATGTGACTATACTTAATGCCACTGAATTGCACACTTGAAAATGGCTAAAACGGTAAATTAAAAATTTTTTAGTTTTTTATCACACACACACACACACACACAAAAGCTACATAATGTATTAGATGGTAATTAAGTGCTGTGGAAAATAAGAAGCAGGCTGAAAGGGATTAAGAGTATGGGGGTACAATCCATAGCCAAGTGGACAGAGTTGCCCTCACTGAGAAGGTGACCTCTGTGCCAAGATGAGAGGGAGTTGGCCTTGCAGAGCTTGCGGGGCAAGGGTGCTCAGGCCGGAAATGTGCCCCAGCAGGTCTGGGGAGCAGCAGGAGGTCAGGGGGCTGGAGTATGGGAGATGGAGTTAGGAGATGAGCTTGGAGAGGAAATGGGACACCAGGGCTCTACAGGCCATTGTAAGGACTTCGGCTCTGCGTCGTTGGGCTGAAGTAGTTAACATTAAGGTGTAGGACGGCACTTGGGACACAGTGAGTGCTGCGATTATCATGCCAGGAAAGCCCCGCAGGAGGCTTCAGGGAGCTGTTAAGAGCCCCGGGCTGGGACTGCCACCTCAGGTCCAGCCCTGCTGCATCTCCCATGTGACCATGCTGACAGCCTGCCTCTCACTGGACGGCCTTGAGAACTCCAGGAAAGTGTTTGTCAAAGTCTTCCCGGTTTGAAAAGGAAGACTTACATGCTGACTGAGGGCAGGGGCTGATCTGAGGCCTAGGAGGAGGCGGGGGCGGTCCCAGGGCTATGAATCCCTGCCTGGAAGGCCCAGCCTCTTCTTACACTGAAAGGAGAAAGGGTCCCGGGTCCTAACGGGTATGGATGGAGAGGAGGGTCATGTGTATTACATGGCAGCCTTCAGCACGCACTCAGACGGGGGTGGGGGTACCACTCAGAGAGATATTGCCAGGAGGTTCCACCCAGACAGCTGAGGACATGTCCAGAGACATGCGTCAAATCAGAAACCAGCCCGAAGGGCCCTCAGCTACTTCACCAAGCTGGCTGCCACACCTGCCCACGCAGGCAAGATGGCCTCAGAGCCTACCTCCCACAGGGAGGGCTTCCTCCCCTCCCCCTCCCTCGCCCCACCCCACCCCCCCCCCCTCCCAAATCCTCCCAGAACAAGGGCTCCTCTGGCAGCCCTCGCCAAAATACTCCAGTCCAAGCGGCAGGGCTGAGGAAGCTGAGGAACCCAAAGTGACTGAAAGTAACCCGGGTTACTGCTGCCTCAGCCTGGCCCTAGTGGCTGCCTGCCATTGGCTGTGCCTCATGAGGAGATGTGGCAGCTGGGCCCCGCCCCCACCGGCTGTCAGGGAGGCGGGTACAAGGGCCCAGTCTCAGGGGCCCGGCTCCCTGGGAGCCCCAGCATCCTGCGCAGGTAAGGCAGGCTCTCCATTCCCCTGGCCCCGAAGCCTGGATCAAAGGCCTCAACCTGGGCCTTCGCCAGGGGCTGGCGGGATTTTGGAGGGAGGGGGGCCTCGTGGGAAAGGAAGCTGTGGTGGGGGGGGCAGGGACTGTGGGAAGAGCTTTGAAGGCCGGAGACCAGGTATGGGCGCCCCTGGGGCAGGAAGGCGCCCACTTGAGCCTGGATGGGCCAGAGATGAAAGGGGTATGTCCTCCTCCCCCCCAACCACCAAGCAGGATGTCCTGGAGGGAACCAGAGCTCCGGCCTGTTCGCCTGTCCCTTGTGCCTGCCTTTGCCGTCTGATCTGTGGCACCACCTCCCCCAACCCTGCCTCACAGTCTGAAGCTGAGGAGTGTAGGCTTTGTATCAAAGGAAAAGGTTGTTCTCAGGGTCCAAGAGGTTATGCACTCTCATTCTCGGTTTTATCTTCCACCCTTACCCCACCTCCAGGAGCCACTCTGCAGTGGTGCCCAGTTATATATTACTTAATATGTGTCAGGCACTGTTCTAAGTACGTTATATGCTGTGTATATGTATTAGTCACTCGGTCATGTTCAACTCTTTGCAACCCCATGAACTGTAGCTCACCAGGTTCCTCTGTCCATGGAATTCCCCAGGCAAGAATACTGGAGTGGGTTGCCATTCCCTTCTCCAGAGGCTCTTCCCAACCCAGGGATCAAACCCACATCTCCCACACTGCAGGCAGATTCTTTACTGTCTGAACCACCAGGGAAGCCAAGTACCTTATATATTACAAAATTTAATTCTCACCACAACCCAGTGAGGAAGGCATAATTATTATCTCCACTGTGCAGATGAAGGAACCTGAGGCCGAGGTGTTAAATGTCTTGCCCAAGGTGGTACAGCTATAAGTGGTCAAGTTGGTATTAAAACTGAGGCAGGCTGGCTCCAGAGTGTAACCTTTCAACCACTATAGGAAGTGATGGAGTGGGAGAGGTTAGAATTCCAGTTTCATGGAAGGGATAGGACCTTGGGGAGGAATGGGGCCTGAGACAGGGGAATCTGCTCAGTCTAACAGCTGGACCAGCCTGAACTGGCAAGAGTTCTAGTGCCCATGACTGGGCCAGCTGAGGCCTTGCTCAGGCTTTTGCCACCATTCCTTCTTCTCAACTCCCAGTCTGTGACAAACGAGAGGGAAAGACCATGGGGTAGCAGACACACCAGAGGCCCCACCTTCTACCGACCTGAAAGAGCATCTTCTACTCACCAGGGCATGAGGCGGCCCAGGCGGGTCCAGGGAGATTTGCTAATGCAGAAGCCCACCAGGGGGTCTGTGATGGCATCCCAAGCTCGGCCCACGAATAGGATGATGGAAGCAGAGAAAGGATCCACCTGGGATGTGGAACAGGAAAAATATGACACCCTCTTCCTTCATCTGACGGGCAACCTCAACCCTCATTGATGGGCAAAAGCAGGGCTCCCTCCCCACTTCGGCCAGGCCATCAGGACCCTGTTCTGCTCCCACGCAGGCCTCAAGCATCATTACTTGCCTTGTTAATAATGACAACAACAGTTCCCCAACAGCAGAGGTACTATGTGTCTCCTGAGAAACTTTCCCAGATTCGCCCCCTTCTGTCCTCCTCTCCACTGCCCTTGAAAACTCATCAATTAGAATGAATCCAGATTGCATTTCCTTGTCTCCCTCTCACAAGCCCCTAACCACTTGATGCCAGAACAAGCATTTGAGGGACTTCCCTATGGCCTAGTGGCTAAGACTCTACACTCACAATTCAGGGGGTCTAGGTTTGACTCCTGAAGGGGGAATAAGATCCCACATGCTGCAACTAAATGTAACTAAGATGCAACGCAGGCAAATAAAAGCAGAGATAGCATTTGCTGGGTCACCACAGTGGCCCTCAGTTTTCCCATCTGTATAATGGTGTTATGATCCTCGTCTTACAGGGTCGAGCTCTATCTTGGATGTGGAAAAAGGATTAAATAGAAAAAATGTTGAGAAGGTAGGCTGCTACTATCACTACCCATTAAAGTTATACTTCTGCCTCCAGAACTTCTCGGCTTATAGACAATTTTTCTGGACTCTTCTTCATTCATCAAGGCTCTGCTACTACTATCACTCCAGGAAGACGGAGAGGACTTTCCTTCTGACTTTTCTAACTTTTTACATTTTGACAGGGGGTTGGTCATATTTGCACCACACTTAGGACCCAGGGCATCGGAGTTGCTTGAAAACTAGCCACTTAAAGGGAGTCATTTGTCCTTTCTGGGGCTCAGGGATCCCCATCTGTAAATGAATACCACTAAGATGCCTTGTTTGGAAAGTCCACTTTCCAAACCGGTGTGTGCACCCTAAGAGTCTTGGCAGTTTGGCCTCCCATTCTTGCAGCAGACAAGGTGAATTCTCAGGATGCCAGGCTGCTGGCTGAGGAGCCCTGTGACACCCTAAGTACCCTGTGAGGGCCCCTCTGTCCACTTGCATGCCTCTGCTCCTTAGGTGAAGGTGGGATGCACCGCGTCCACAGGCCTGACAACATCCACCAACCCCTGAGCCAAGCCAGCTGACTGCCGTCCAGCTGGGGACATGGTGTGCCAGTCTCTTCTAAGAACATCACAGCAGGCTTTATTCTCTCAAACCATTGCCTACCCCTCCAGGCTCTGTTGCTCTTGCCAGGCAAGGAGGAGTTGCCTGACCTTGCCAGCTAAGACTCCTGGGGCTGAGAGACTCCCCTTCTGGATACTCTCCAAAGCCTTATTTCTAATCCACTGTGACTCTGAGAGGCAGAAGTGTAGGGGTGCGTGGTCCCATTTCCCAGTTGAGGGAAAAAACCCTAGCCTAGAGTCCATAGTCTCTCCCACTTTGGGATGATGGAGGAGCCATAGGGAGTTCAGTTCACTCACCTGAGCTACATCCAACAGGTAGATCTGTAGGAAGAACCCCAGGGCACATCCTGTCACCTGGTAAGGGGCTCCTCCAACTGCATAGCAAAGTTTGTTGCAAATGGACAACTGCTTTTTCTTCTTTGGCTCCTTCTGGGAAGAAGAGCAAAGAATGAAGAGACCCACGAGACTGGCCTCCATCCTAGAACTTTCCAGAGCCAGGACCATCCCTCTAACCAACTCTGCCAGGAAGGATAAGTCTGCCTTGCCCTGTTCCCACCCAAGGAGAGCTCACTTCTCACAAGAAAAGAGAGGTCTTCTCTGGTTTTAAAAATCTGGAAAAGGCAAATTCATACTGAGGAAGTAGCCCCCAAGCCGCCTCACCCCACCCCAGACCCTTACCAGTGCACCATCCCTTAAGAACTCCTCCCAAGGCCTCAGTCATGCTTCTTTCCAAGTTGAAGGGGGAGCATGCTCCAGCAGGGAACCTGTCCCCACCTAGCACCAACTGCCACAACCTGAAAATCCTCTTGCTGCCAAAAGCTGCCTAAGCCCAGGCCTGGCTCCCACCATGGTTCAGAGGGTAGAACCCACCTGCCTACTGGGTGAGAGCTCTAGAGATCTGTAAGGGCCCAGCCCAGTTGGCTGTAGGCACAGCTGTTCCTTCCATCTGTCCCAGAGCCTCCCTGGCCCCTGGAGGCAGCCAGACCTTCAGGCAAACCCAGGAGATGTCCTACCCTCCCTCTCCCTGCCCCCCTCCCCCAGAGCACAGGGGATCTTGTTGTGGCGACAGGGGGGGGGGGGGTAGGAAGGCCTCTAGGTGCTGGGTTGGGCCCTCTCTGGGTGGGGCACTAGGGAGGTTAAGGTTGCCCAGGGAAAGCAGATTACTCATACATTGCAGCAGCATTAATTGCTTACCCAGGCTCCTTCCAAAGATCGGTTAATAAAATTAAAACGAAAAGGCAGTCACCTCCCAGGCAGATATATTGCCTGGGATCCCTCTCTGGGGAAGCCTGATGTCACTGGGTCCTTCATTACGTCCAGAGAGCTGGGAACGGGGCCGAAAGTCAAGACAGGCAAAGCGCAGTGTACGCGCGACCCGATACCTACACTCACAGAGAGCCTACCGGATGCGGCTCCTTTAAGAGCAGAGCTCTTGTTTTATGAATGAACTTGATCGGCCCTCGCCGCAGAGTTGAGAAGCTAGCGTAGGATGTGGGGGTGGGGAGTAGGCGGATGAGAGATGGGGGACCAAGGTAGTTTCCCAGATTTCTGGGGTCTCCCTGCCGTCTAGGGCAGCAAACTTTAGCGGCTGATCACAGAGGAACGGAAAGCTGCTAGGCAGAGCCGGGCACCACGTGGAACTCCCAGTAAGGCTGCTCTCCAGAAATGCCCAGAGCTGGGGTGGGCAAAGGGGGAGCCTGGCGCCTACAAACCTTTTCCATCACTCCCCGACTCCAGGGCACCCCCAGGGCTCTCTCCTGCCTCCGGGTTCTTCTGTTCCTGGCTTAGCCCAATGTGTCCCAGAACCAGGCGTATCCCGCGACGCCCCCATCTCATCCTGGCCCCCCATCCCAGACCCTCCACCTGGGGTTGCAGGACCTCACCTTCACCTGGACCGGTCGTTCACCGGCTTGGAGGATGCCGGTGGGCAGAAGTCCCGCGGCGGAGCCGCTCTCGGCGCCCTCTCCTTTGGCCATGACCCGCGGGCCACGCCGCCCGGGGACCGGGAGGCCGGGATGCTCCTCTGCTCCGCGGGCCTCCGCTCCGCCCGGGCTCGCGTTGTAGTTGTAGCCGCCGCCGCCACTTCTGTCGCCGCACACTAGTTAACCCCGCAGGCGGCTGGGCGAAGCACTCACTCCCCTGCACGCCCCCCGCGCCTCTTAAAGGTTCGCCCAGCCCTCTCTGATCTGGCCAATCCTGGAGCTTTGCTACCCCGCCTCCAGCCAATCCTGGAGCCCGCCGGTCCTCCCGCCTGCCCAAACCACCCGGCTGCTAGCTGGTGCCATCCAGCCACGTTCTCTAGTCCGGAACCCGTATCCGGCTGCGCGTGCTCCGCGCAACCTCGGGGGAAGGCTTGGAGACCCACCTGACGCGCACGAGGAAACTGAAGCCCAAGGCTAAAAGTTACCTGCCCAAGGACCCCCAGAGTGAGTTCTCCCAGAGCGAGATCTACACCTCATGACTTCGGGCCCGCAGGTCCAGGAATAGTAGGGGCTCCAAAGCCCACTGCCCCCCTTTAACGTCTGGAGTCAAATCGAGTCTCCTGCTCTGAACCTGGAGTATGTAGCGCTGGCACCTTCCTAACCGACGCCCGTCTCTCTTTCCCCAAGATGGACTATTTCTTCTTACGGACAGTGGCATCTTTGGGGTCCTCATGATGGGGAGAAAGGCAAGGTGAGGTAATGAGGCCTGCAGAGGCAATGCGTCGCCTCAGGCAGAAAGCCCCCAGTTTGTGGAAAGGAGTCGAGACCACAGCCATTAGCACATAATGATGGTAACAGCAGCATTTTATGGAGAATTTCCTCCAGGCTTGACACGATCTCCTTCAGCCCTTTAACCACCCTGTGAGCGTGGTACTATTATTATCTCCGTTTTACAACTCAAGGGAGGAAAACTCAGAGAAATGAAACAGCTGTTATGTTGGCAGAGCCAGGGCTAGGAGGTTTTGCCCCATTTTAAAGCCTTCCCTCTTCATAGCACCGCGCTGTCCCTCTCAGCAAAAATGAGAAGGCTGAACCTGTCTCCCCAAGAAGCCCCGGGAGATAGGAAGCCCTGAGTTGAAACAGTCAAGGAAAATTTTGAAAGAGTGCTGAATAGTCTGCTCCTTGAAAGAAGGTGGGAGGGGAATTCCCTGGCGGTTCAGTGGTTAGAACTCTGAGGGCGCTTGATCACTGATGGAGAATTAAGATCCTGCAAAGCCTTGGGGTCTGGCCAAAAGAAAAAGAGAGAAGATGGGAGGCCAGACAGATGTCAGAAAACTGTCTTTTACCACCCGTGTGTCCCTTGTGTCTCCATCACTCCTGGCTTCCCAGACACTCAAGAGGCCGGGAGGGGGCCAGATGGCACTGACCAGTGAAGTGATTGCTCAAAGGCCACTCAGTCCTGTGCCTGTGGTTGTTGTGGCAGGCTCCTTTTTTCTTTCATAAAGTCTTATTGCCAGGAGAGATAAGGTCTCGTGGCCCCATGATGGCCACACCAAGCTTCCTCATCGGCCCTAGAAAATCCCCATCTTGGCACACAGATCTTGGCCACTGCTGAGAGCCAAGGTGAGGCAGCTGACTTGGTGCAAAGGGCCTGGACTGGCCCCCATGGCTGTGCCATGAGCTGTGTGATACTCTTCTGTCTCTGCCCCTCTCTGGGCTTGAGTCCACAGCCCTAACATCCTCAGCCCTAGGGGATTACACTGCATCAGAAGTGATTTAGACTCTAGTCAAACCATGAGCTCTTGGAAGGTGAGTATTACATCTTTTTCACTCCTGTATCCCCACTGACTAGCTGGGGGCCTGATTTGTAGTAGAAACCTAAATATGTGTTCAGTGATGCCTGCTCAGTCTCCCTGAGGGACAAGCACAGGGGAACCCATTCAGAAAAGCCCCAGGCTCATCCATTTACTAGCTGTGTGGTTGATCCTGGGCAATCCAGTTAACTGTCCTACATATATAGGTAGAGATATTAAGTGACTACCTGTTTTGAGTATGAAACCAGAAAATGCAGGGGGGAAGTGCTTAGCACAAATGCCTGGGAGCCGAGGCTGAGCTGGTCCCCCCCTCTTGGCCCGATTCCAGTCTGAAAGTGTAGCAGTGTAAGATTCCAGATATGGCCTGACCAAGCCAGAACAATAGGCCTATTATTTCCCGCAGTCTGGACACGACACATTGTTAATGCAGCCTAAGACTGCTGGGCTTCGGAGTCTTTCTCTCCCATGACTAGTTCCCATCAGGTTGTGGTCAATTAAATTATTCAGATCCTTTTCACTGGAGCTGGGGTCAAGTCAGGTCTCTCCCCGACCCTCTGCTTTGTATAGTGTCTCCCCCTTCATGAAGCTCACAGAATGACAGTGTCTTCTTGCTTATTTCAGCCTGTTGAAATTTGTTTACAGTGCTGGTTCTATTGCCTCCTGTTTCCTCTCCATCTCGGTTTATTCTTCTGGTTTTGTTTTGTTTTGTTTTTAATTTTGGCTGCACCATGTGGCATGCAGGACCCTAGTTCCCCTGTCAGGAATCGAACTTGTGCCCCCTACATTGGAAGGTGGAATCGCAACCACTGGACCAATGGAGGAAGTCCTACTCCCTCTCTAATTTTAGATCCAGGCTGCTCCTTTCCACTTCAACTACACCATCCAGTCTGTTGATCAGGACAGAGTCCCACAATGCTCCACTAGAGACACCCTTCACCACTGACTATATTAGGGCCCTGCTATTATACAACAGCTCCCAATTATTGCTGGGCAAGCATTGGGCTAAATGCTTTGTGTATATACCATCTCATTTCCTCACAACATCAGTGGGTAGGTGATGAATCTGAGCTAAGACAGGGAAAGCAGGGACCAGTTTTACACGCCCAGAGTCAAGCGCCTTTTTCTGACCGTGTGCTTGGCCGTAAATTTGTCACTTAGAAATGTTGTCCTCCGGCTGCACACAGTCCTGACCACGTGCTTCCATGGTCGTCTTGGCCACTCTCACTCCTCTTTCCCCCTCACCAGCAGGCCTGGAGCCCAAGGGGCTTTGCTGAGGCTCCAGTCCAACGTGGGCAAAAGGCAACCTTATCAGCTCCATCAGCCTCAGGAACCTGGAGCAGAGACCTGGACCCTTTCTTCACAGCAACATTCTTTTCATCTAGGATAGCAGTGAGAACAAGGGCTTCTCCCTGAGGAGCAGAAAGGCAGCTCCCCACTCAGTAATGAAACTACCCTTGTGGCCATCCTTGACCCTTTCTAGATGGAGCCTAGTCTCACAGCCAAGGGCAAATACATTTCAGAGCTCCCCTTGTTGCGTCCACTTGTCTGTGCCCTCACAGTGCGCCATGCCCAGCTGAGGGGCTTCTTCATACCCTAGTGTACTCCCCTGAGGGCCTCTGGGGAAGGAGGCTGGGTCCCCTGAGCTTCTTTGGAGACAGAGGAGCAAAGATTCGAAGGACAGATCACTGGCTTCATAGTCTGTCTCTACCACACAGTTTGTGCACATGTACGAGCTCAGTCACTCCGTTGTCTCGGACTCTGGCAGCCCCATAGACTAACCTGCTGGGCTCCTCTGTGAGATTCTCCAGGCAAGTATACTGGAGTGAGTTGCCGTTTCCTTCTCCAGGGGATCTTTCTGACCATACAGTTTACTCCTGGGCAAATTACAAAATCTCTTTGAGCCTCACTTTCCTCACCTGTCAAATGAGGATAATAATTCTCACGGTGTAGTCATGAGGATTAAGTACGGTCCGTAGAACAGTGCTTGGCCTTTAGTAAGAACTTAAGCAGAATTCCCTGGTGGCTCAGTGGTTAAGAATCCACCTGCTAAAGTAGGGGACATAGGTTCAATTCCTGATCCGGGAAGGATTCCACATGCTGTGGAACAACTGAACCTGTGTGCCACAACTACTGAGCTACACGCTGCAGCTACTGAAATCCACATGCCCTCAAGCTCATGCTCCACTGCAATGAGAAGCCCTCTCCCCACAACTAGAGAAAGCCCCTGTGAAGCAGCAATGGCCCAACATGGCCAAAAACTACATAAATAAAATTTTTTTTTAATTTAAATGCCCCAGTAGAGCTTCTTAACTCTGTTCAATAAATAAATAAATAAAAACAAAGAGTGTGGGTTGCCTTTTAAAAATATTTGTCATCATTATCAGCATCACCACAGTCACTATCATCGGTAGTATCGATTAGTGTGGTGAAACCACACCAAATAACACCATTTAAGTCAGAGGGGAGAAAATTTGATTTAAATGGCTAGGGGCTAGATTTATATCTGGTGATTCAAGATGGTGTTTCTAACCCAGTGGGGTGCTGCCAGGACATGCTAAGAGATTGTTGCTAAGTGAAAGTGTTTCAGGTACCAGTGTTGTCAAGTGGAATAGCAATCTGTTATCCTGTGGTAAGATCTCTTTGGTCCTTAAATGGTGAATCTACCACCCTGGCTTCTGGAAAAAAGGAGCCCAGCCCATGCTTTAAAACATACTTATCTCAACTTGTGCGTTCCTGCTTAGTCACTCAGTCATGCCTTATTCTTGCAACCCCATGGACTGTGTAGCTGACCAGGCTCCTCTGTTCATGGGATCTCCAGGCAAGAATATTGGAATGGGTAGCCATTCCTTCCTCCAGGGGATCTTCCTGACCCAGGGATTGAACCCGGGTCTTCTGCATTGCAGGCAGATTCTTTAATGTCTGAGCTACTAGGGAAGCCCACACTTATCTCAAGAGCCACTGGTAAGTTTATACCTTGGTTGGTGCTTATGGCAGAAAGCGAAGAGGAACTAAAGAGCCTCTTGATGAAAGTGAAAGGAGAGTGGAAAAGTTGGCTTAAAACTCAACATTCAAAAAACGAAGATCATGACATCCAGTCCCATCACTTCATGGCAAATAGATTGGGAAATGATGGAAACAGTGAGAGACTTTATTTTCTTGGGCTCCAAAATCACTGAAGATGGTGACTGCAGGCATGAAATTAAAAGATGCTTGCTCCTTGGAAGAACAGCTATGACAAACCTAAACAGCATATTAAAAAGCAGACAATACTTTGCCAATAAAGTTCCATCTAGTCAAAAGAAAGAAAAGTGAAGTCGCTTAGTTGTGTCCGACTCTTTGTGACCCCATGGACTGTAGCCCACCAGGCTCCTCCATCCATGGAATTTTCCGGGCAAGAGTACTGGAGTGGGTTGCCATTTCCTTTTCCAGGGGATTTTCCCAACCCAGGGATCAAACCTGGGTCTCCTGCATTGCAAGCAGACACTTTACCATCTGAGCCATGGTTTTTCCGTGTAGTCATGTATGGATGCAAGAATTGGACCATAAAGAAGGCTGAGCACTGAAGAATTGATGCTTTTGAACTGTGGTGTTGAAGAAGAGTCTTGAGAGTCCCTTGGACAGCAAGGAGATCAAACCAGTCAATCCTAAAGGAAATAAGTCCTGAAAATAATTGGAAGGACTGATGCTGAAGCTGAAACTCCAATACTTGGCCAGCTGTTGCGAAGGGCTGACTCATTTGAAAAGACCCTGATGTTAGGAAAGATTGAAGGCAGGAGGAGAAGGGGACGACAGAGGACAAGATGATTGGATAGCATCACTGACTCAATGGACATGAGTTTGAGCAAGCTCCAGGAGTTGGTGATGGACAGAAAGCCTGGTGTGCTGCAGTTCATGGGGTTGCAAAAAGTCGGACACAGCTGAGCTGAACTGGATAGTGGTGGTCTGAGGCCTGAGGTCAGGAGATGGCTGGGCAAGCACTGGAGTAGCCTGAGGCTATTCTGCACGCAGTCCTTTTGTTTTCCCTGTGGGGAGGTGAAAGGGCAGAAAGTAGAAAGGAGAGACTCTTGAGAGTCCCAAGAGAAACTCTTCCTGTAGAAAGTAGCTAAGAGCTCTTCAAGTCATCTGAGGCTACCAGTTGTGAAGTAGAATATCTCTTGCCATATCAATAAACAAGGATGTAATAGCCATCAGCGATTTCAGGCCTCCAGATGTGAATAAGGGCTCCCAAAGGGAAAACAAAGCTTGAGATTCAGTAGATGCTGCCACTGCACTCCCCCTGGCCCCCGCCCCTGCCCCATGATTGCTGAGGAGCTAGGGGATGGGGGGAGTAAGAAATCAAAAAAACAGGATGCGGGCCCCAGATACTTGAGATGTGTATGAATGAAATGACTTTAATAATCCCAGACTCTCGCATCTTCCCATACATAGAAGAGTGCTAATTTCCTTAACTTGAGATATCTAGTTTTCCTTAATTAACAGTAACATTTGATGTTCAGACTGCCTGCCCTGCTTCGTTACAAAATTCTATATATACTGACTCCTTCCCCCCAGCTCTTGGAGCAGTTTCTCAGGATTACCAGAGATGCTGTCTTCCAGGCTTGAAGTCATAACGTTCTCACCAAATAAAAAACTGCTGTCAGGTTGTGACTATATTTTTTAGTAGACAGTTTTGGCAACCAACATGAAGGGACCCAGAGCAGATTCCTTCTCCTCCACCTGAGCTCTATGGGAATCTGGAGCCTTGGTAACAGCAGAAGCCCCTTGTGCCCATCCATCTCCTTGGGAGTTCAGATGGATTTGATTGAGTCTCTTCTGGTTCTAGGATCTCTCATATTGGCTGAAGATCCTGAGTTTTATTTGGTGGGGTATAGCAGGTCCTTGCCCCCTCTCACTTGAAAGTTCCTGGTTGGGGGGGCACCCAGTTGAAAAACACTGGGACCCACCCACAGTCTAGATACTGAGTGGAACTTTGTTGGAAAATACTGAGAAACACCCGCTTCCCAGTTGTAAGACAATGAAAGGGGTTGGTTAACAGACACCAGGGAAATACCCATCCAGTTAGAAGATGCCTTGCAATACCCACCGAGGAATCCTTGGGTCTTTGTTGAAAGACACTGAGGTTGCTACGTTGTAGGAGGCTGAGCAGTCTGCTGAGTAGTTAGGTAAGCGCCTGATCTGACTCTTTTCCTCAGTTTGGCTGCCTTAATAGAATTTGTCGGGATAAAAGTGAAGATATTCCATGAAAGCTTTACTCTGAGGAAAAGGAACAAAGCTCCCAGCCAGTTACAGTTTTCTTAGGTGACTGAGAAATTTATGGGGGTGGTAAAGGCTGAGTCCTCATACTGAGCAGTGGTCCCACAGAGAAATCTTCTCATTAATTTAAAAAATTGCTCACCTGGAAGAAACAAATAAGAACTGAACAGTCAGCAACTCAAGCACCTATGGTGGTCTTAGACTGCCAGAGACAGACTCTGAGACACAGAAGATGAGCTAAAACGACTCTGGGGTACTCTGGGAGGAGTTACGCTCACAAGCAGCACACAGGCCCACCACACGACTTCACTAGGAAATTTTTATCCCTGGCAAATTCAAGTTAAAATGGGAAATAGAATTTCTCAAAAGCAAAACAAAGGGCACCAGAAAGTCAACCTCTGACTAACACCCCAGCCAGATTCATAAGGAGCTCATACTTGCAAATACATAGTTAATTGGAGAAATTATACTTTAATTGGAGAAATTATACTGAAGGAAATCTTACCCAAAAATTGAGGGGGTCTTTCTTTTGTATGCAAAGTTAAAAACTGGCTTCGTAAAACTTTAAACAAAGGGAAACTGATATTCCTCTGTGTCTTCGAGTTGTAAATGTTTCTACCTGATATTCCTAGGTTGTTCTGTGTTCCTGGGTTAATTTGTTTGTGTTTGCCCTATTTCTTGTTGTTCAGTCACTTAGTTGGGTCCGACTCTTTGCGATCGCATGGTCCACAGCACACCAGGTTTCCCTGTCCTTCACTATCTCCAGGAGTTTGTCCAAACTCATGTCCATTAAATGGTTGATGCCATCTAACCATTTTATCTCCTGTCATTCCCTTCTCCTGCCTGCAGTCCTTCCCAGCACCAGGGTCTTTTCAAATGAGTTGGCTCTTCACATTAGGTGGCCAAAGTATTGGAGTTTCAGCCTCAACATCAGTCCTTCCAATGAATATTTAGGGTTGATTTCCTTTAGGATTGACTGGTTTGATCTCCTTGCAGTCCAAGGAACTCTCAAGAATCTTCTCCAGCTCCACAGCTCAAAAGCATTAAATCTTTGGTGCTCAGCTTTCTTTATGATCCAACTCTCACAACCATACATGACTACTGGAAAAACCATAGCTTTGACTAGACGGACATTTGTCTCTGCTTTTTAATATGCTGTATAGGTTTGTCAAAGCTTAAGAAGCAAATGTCTTTTAATTTCACAGCTGCAGTCACCATCAGCAGTGATTTTTGGAGCCCAAGGAAACAAAGTCTGTCACTGTTTGCATTGTTTCCTCTTCTATTTGCCATGAAGTGATGAGACCAGATGGTGTGATCTTCATTTTTGAATGTTGGGTTTTAAGCCAACTTTTTCACTCTCCTCTTTCATCAAGAGGCTCTTTAGTTCCTTTTCACTTTTTGCCAGTAGGGTGGTGTCATCGGCATATCTGAGATTATTGATATTTCTCTTGCAACCTTCAATCCAGCTTGAACTTCATCCATCCTGGAATTTTGCATAATGTACTCTGCATAGAAGTTAAATAAGCAGAGTGACAATATACAGCCTTGATGTAATGATAACTAAAGTTAAAGGTATAGAAATTGGTGGCAGAATTTAGATAAAAGTATTATAAAATTGTTATATTTAGACGGCATTTATATATGAAGGCTTCCCTTGTGGCTCAGCTGGTAAAGAATCCACCTGCAATGCAGCAGACCTGGGTTCGACTCCTGGGTTGAGAAGATCCCCTGCAGAAGGAAAAGGCTACCCACTCCAGTAATCTGGCCTGGAAAATTCTATGGACTGTATAGTCATGGGATAGTGAAGAGCTGGACACAACTGAGCAACTTTGACTTTCACTTACTTTATATATGATGGTCATACCTCTTATTTATTTTAACTGTGGGATAGACAAGGCATATAGATTGCCACTAAAGAAGTATAACTAGCTCTTGCTGTTTCCTGTCATGGCGCAGGATCAAGGTGAGAAGGAGAGCCCCATGCGGGAACTTCGCATCCGCAAGCTCTGCCTCAACATCTGCATCGGGGAGAGCGGAGACAGGCTGACCCGGGCGGCCAAGGTGCTGGAGCAGCTCACGGGCCAGACCCCAGTGTTCTCCAAAGCTAGATACACTGTCAGATCCTTCGGCATCAGGAGAAATGAAAAGATGGCCATCCACTGCACTGTCCGTGGGGCCAAGGCAGAAGAAATCCTGGAGAAAGGTCTAAAGGTGTGAGAGTACGAGTTGAGAAAAAATAACTTCTCAGATACTGGAAACTTTGGCTTTGCGATCCAAGAGCACGTCGACCTGGGGATCAAGTATGACCCGAGCATCGGTATCTACGGCCTGGACTTTACGTGGTGCTGGGTAGGCCAGGTTTCAGCATCACAGACAAGAAGCGCAGGACAGGCTGCACTGGGGCCAAACACAGAATCAGCAAAGAGGAGTCCAACAGAACTGGTCCAACAGAAGTATGATGGGATCATCCTTCCTGGCAAATAAATTCCCGTTTCTATCCAAAAGGCCAATAAAACATTTTCAGTTAAAAAGAAGAAGTATTAACTAAGTGTACTGAGGAAACCAATAAAGTTACAAGATAAGTAAAAATGGGAACTAACATGCAAGGGCTAATAAAAATAAAAATAGTGATTTTGCTTTGGTTTAATTCATAAACACAGAAAGGTATTTTGATGAATGCCTTATACAAACCTTTGAAGACATGATACATTAAACTTTAAAGTTAGAAAACTAAGCAACTGTCTTTGTCTTGCAAATGTCAAAAAACCAGAATATGAGTACAGGCCACAAGGACCCGACACTGAGCCCGGTTAAGCAAGCAAGAACTAAAACCAAAGGAAAAAAATGGCAATTTTAGATTTGAACTGTTGAGACTATTCCCTCGGCCAAACCTTACAGATAGTAAGCCTTTATCATCTGAGCAAGCAACTTTTGTGTATTCCAACTGTTTGTTAACTAGTATGTTTATATTGTAATCCTGATTCTTAGCTAAGCTTTTTTTTTTCTTAGCTAAGCTTTTAAATGAAGCCGTGAGATCCCTAGTTTGTCTATTTATGTCTGTGTACACCTTATACATATAAGATATCTCTACTTTTAAAAAGTATTCTTAGAATTGGATTTATAAAGAGCTCTATTTAATTTTAATAAAAAGAACTTGCATTTAAAAGAAACTGACCAAGATGACTTTCAGGTTCATGTTAACTAGGAAATATTCAATAGTAAGTTGACTCCTGATATTAATGTTTAAGTTTGTTGATCTAGTTAATATAGACATGTCATTAAGAGTCATTGAAATTGAGTATAATACTGTATCATACTTATGTTTAATAAATAAGACCTTACTAGATCTCTTGAAAGAAAAATAACTTGAAATGATGTAACTTTAAGATAAATCTAAATGAGATAAGGACTCTAGGGTAAATTCTTTTTATATTTTAGAACTATTTAAAAATTATCTTTCCAACAAAAATAAAAGAAAAAACAAACAAAAAAATGATCTTTCCAGATACTTGGTAACTTAAAATTCTAGAGCTATTGCCAATTTAAGCTAAGTGATGAAAATTTATTGAATACCTAAAAGATCCTGAGATAGCAGTTGTTCTCTATAATAACATAAATGTTTTTAGAAATTATCACCAGCGTTTATGCTCACCAGTCTATAGAATGCCAAGGTAAGACAGTTCATACTTACTTACTTCTTAGTTTTACTAAAATTAAGGTTTTAAAAGTCAAGGATTCTCAGTTCTAATGAGGTGGATGAAACTGGAGCCTATTATACAGAGTGAAGTAAGTCAGAAAGAAAAACACCAAAAAAAAAAAATAAGAAAGAAAGAAAAACACCAATACAGTATATTAACACATATATATGGAATTTAGAAAGATGGTAACAATGAATATGCGAGACAGCAAAAGAGACATATATGTAAAGAACAGACTTTTGGACTCGGAGAAGGCGAAGGTGGGATGATTTGAGAGAATAGTATTGAAACATGTATATTACCATATGTGAAATATATCGCCAGTCCAGGTTCGATGCATGAGACAGGGTGCTCTGGGCTGGTGCACTGGGATGACCCTGAGGGGTGGGATGGAGAGGGAGGTAGGAGGGGGGTTCAGGATGGGGAACACATGTACACCCATGGCTGATTCATGTCAATGTATGGCAAAAACATACATACACTACAATATTGTAAAGTAATTAGTCTCCAATTAGAATAAATTAATTAATTAAAAAAGTCAAGGATTCTAATTTAAAGGCACAGGTGGTGCTAGTGGTAAAGAACCTCCCTACCAATGCAAGAGATATAACAGACTCAGTTCGATCCCTGGGTCAGGAAGATCCCTTGGAGGAGGAAATGGCAACCCACTTCAGTATTCTTGCCTGGAGAATCCCATGGACAGAAGAGCCTTGCAGGCTACAGTCCATAGAGTCACAAAGAGTCGGACACGAATGAAGTGACTTAGCACAGCACAGCACAAAAGTTGAGGGTTCTGATTTAAACATGTAATTTAAGCTATTAGGTAGGAACAATACAGTACTACAATAATACAAACTTCTCAATATACAGTAAGAAATAGAATATATGTTTTCAATAAAAAAGGCATGAGAAATGGAATTACACTTTGGGGAGGGAAAAGAAAGAACAAGCTGGTTGATTTTATTTAAATGGAAAATGAGAGACTGAAAACAGAAGTGATGAGAGACTGTGGAAAGAAATCCTGAGGAAAAGGGTTTGTATATAGTCAGGATTGACTGAGTTTGAATTGAAGTTAACTAAATGAATGAATGTACTTTGTTAAGTGAGTTAGTGCAGGACTGAAATTTGATTTCTCTCTGTTAAAAGTGGTTCTTTTTTTACTACAAATTGTGTGAGTTTCTGTGCCCTTAAGTGATCTATATTTGTTTTCCTTTAATTATTTTATTATTTTGGTTGAATAAGTATTCTTTCAGTGACCTATGATCCTCTATTTTAAAACCTTTTTGATATATCGAAAAAACTTCCCAAATATCAAAATCTAACTAAGCTTCTCAGCCTCCAGCTGACTCTGGGACGGATGCTTTGGGAAAAAAAAGATCTGTAAGACAAGTCAGAGACACCTCAGAGACAAATGTTAAAAACTAAATTTATTTAGTATTTCTAATTGAAAAATATTGTCAAGTGACAAAAAGTGAACTTTAGGTTATAATGTATGGATAAATATCATTAATACAGATATTCCAAAATTTATATGAAATCCCTAACATCTGATATGTCCTGATATATTTTTTTATCAGTCATAATTCTAGAGATTATACAAGTGTTATATGTTACAGAAATATCCAAGTTTCCTAATTGCATTGTACTCAAATCTTATACCACGCTATTTTAAGTTTTGTCCTTTATAGATTATCATAATTTTACACTGCTTTTACAAAATGAAGATTTTCAAGAAGACTCATAAAAAGAACTTTAAACAATGGTGTTTCCGATAGCCTTAATGCCACTGAACTGGATAACAAAATGACAGATTCTAATGGAAACCTGATTACTTAAGGCAGGTCAACAGGAATCAATTACATGAGACTGAATGAATTGATAAATATGATTCATAACCTTGACTTTACAAAATATGCTAACTTAAATCTGTTTCCCAAGTAACCTTTTTTCTCTTATACTGTGATCTACAACAGGTTGATAAAAAATGCCTTGTAAATGGGGATGAGATATTTGTCTTTTTCTCTCTGCCTGATCCTGCCAAGATTTGGCTTTCCACCTGGCTTTCTTACAAACCTGATGGTAATTGCAACTGGATTACAACTAGTTACATTAATCATTGCTTCAATTTGTTCCTTGTTTCCAAATTGTTTGTGCTTTTGTCTGTTACACTATGACTGTGTCAAGGTTACTAGCTACATTACTTATGTCTATTTTAAAATATTGTTGTCTCACAGCGTGCAGCCAGGCCTCCAGCAAATGTAATGGTGACTAGGTGACAAAGCAATTGATCAAAAAAATATCATTGTGTATGCCATCAATAATTATAATAGTGTAATTCTAGGTGTGGGAAGAAGCAACAAAGGAAGTCCTAATAGGTTAAATCCTTGATCCGAATAGATTAGAAAATAGAGGGCCCAGAAAATATTTTATTATTTATCAATGAGCCTAATCTGGAAATGCCAGAGAATGTTCAAACTACCGCACAATTGCATTCATCTCACACGCTAGTATAATGCTCAAAATTCTCCAAGCCAGGCTTCAGCAATACGTATACCTGTGAACTTCCAGATGTTCAAGCTGGTTTTAGAAAAGGCAAAGGAACCAGAGATCAAATTGCCAACATCCATTGGATCATTGAAAAAGCAAGAAAGTTCCAGAAAAACATCTATTTCTGCTTTATTGACTATACCAAAGCTTTTGACTGTGTGGATCACCATGAACTGGATAATTCTTAAAGATATGGGAATACTAGACCACCTGACCTGCCTCTTGAGAAATCTATATGCAGGTCAGGAAGAAACAGTTAGAACTGGACATGGAACAACAGACTGGTTCCAAATAGGAAAAGGAGTACATCAAGGCTTTATACTGTCACCCTGCTTATTTAACTTCTATGCAGAGTACATCATGAGAAACTCTGGGCTGGAAGAAGCACAAGCTGGAATAAAGATTGCCAGGAGAAATATCAATAACCTCAGATATGCAGATGATACCACCCTTATGGCAGAAAGCAAAGAGGAACTAAAGATCCTCTTGATGAAAGTAAAAGAGGAAAGTGAAAAAGTTGGCTTAAAGCTCAACATTCAGAAAACTAAGATCATGGCATCAGGTCCCATCACTTCATGGCAAATAGATGGGGAAACAGTGGAAACAATGGCTGACTTTATTTTTCTGGGCTCCAAAATCACTGCAGATGGTGATTGCAGCCATGAAATTAAAAGACGCTTACTCCTTGAAAGGAAAGTTATGACCAACCTGGACAGCATATTAAAAAGCAGAGACATTACTTTGTCAACAAAGCTCTGTCTAGTCAAAGCTATGGTTTTTCCAGTAGTCGTGTATGGATGTGAGAGTTGGACTGTGAAGAAAGCTGAGCGCTGAAGAATTGATGCTTTTGAACTGTAGTGTTGGAGAAGACTTGAGAGTCCCTTGGACTGCAAGGAGATCCAACTAGTTCATCCTAAAGGAAATCAGACCTGAATATTCATTGAAAGGACTGATGTTGAGGCTGAAGCTCCAATACTTTGGCCACCTGATGTGAAGAGCTGACTCATTTGAAAAGACCCTGATGTTGGGAAAGATTGAAGGCTGGAGGAGAAGGAGACGACAGAGGATGAGATGGTTGGATGGCATCACTGACTCAATGGACATGAGTTTGAGTAAACTCCAGGAGTTGGTGATGGACAGGAAGGCCCGGCATGCTGCAGTCCACGGGGTTGCAAAGAGTCGGACATGACTGAGTGACTGAACTGAACTGAATTGAATCTGGAAATTAACACCTGGAGT